GTTTCAAAGATGTAAAAGAGACAGACAGACACAAAGGTAGAAAAAAGGTGAGGTGAGTGCTGTGGAAATATTCGAATATGGCATCGAGTGAGGTGATGGTAGTTAGAAGTGAGAAGTCAACTGCCATTCAATAGACTTTTTTGCCGTATGAATATACGTTGTCCAGGATGCACCACGTGGAGGTAAGTCTATCGCACACCCCATTGATATTTTAATTAGTTACTATATTCTTTTCATTTAGCATTCCCACGACACGCCTCCCAACCTGGGCTCAGTCAGGAGTCGGACTTCTTTACCATTACGCCAGTCGCGTTGTTCTTATTAGTTCAGCCCGGTCTACTTCCTCCATGAAGCAGTTGTCATCTCCAAGCCTTGCTGCATTCCACTCTTGTGCTTCTATGCGTTGCTGGCGTCTTTGCATCTCCTTTAAAGGTCTCCCGGCCAATCCCGACCTCCTTTATCAATCCCCTGAGACACCCGTCAACAGTCTCCGAGACTTGACTAACTTCCTTCACTCTGTTGTCACGGAGTGGGAAGGCTTGTGTCGCCTATTTGCCATATGTGCACCGGTTCTTGATAAATCCGGTGAGTTCTCTACTTATATCAATTTCAGTAGTTTGTTTATTTGCTAATTCATCTGTTAATTGCTTTTCTTTCTCACTCCTTTTGTAGCTTCTTTTCCGCCAGGGATTGTTGTACAGCTATTTGATGCCAAGAGTTTGATATTGGCTTATGGGCCTGGTCTTCACTATCGTGTAAGTTTGGCATTCAAATAGGTTTCACCCTTTCATCCTCCTCACATAATGCCCTTGATATTGAGCCTCTACGAAGGTGTCTTAACTAATAATAATGCTATATTTCTTGTTTCGGCTAGATTACCTTTGTATTTTACCTAACCTTTACCACATATTTTGGCTCATTCCGTGCTGATTTTGTTCGTGAGCCACTTTCCTTTTTCTTTGTGCTTTAAAGTTCGTCTTTCCTCTCCCTTTAAATACTTAGCATCATCAGCTGTTGGGGAATTAATAGTAGAGTAATTAATCAGCTGCTTCCATTAAATGACAAGCAACTGTAAATAGATTCTTTGTATTAACTACCTGACTTCCAGGAGTGGAATACTTAAAGAGGAATCTGTATCACATTTATCCTTTTAATTTAAGGTTAGAAAAGCGCTAAGTTGGCACACTTGATGTAGACATCCTCCAATAGAGATAAATCCTGAATTATTGGGAGAAAAGTGGAAATCGTGTGCTACTGTGACGAACTTGTTCAAATTTAACTAGTATTTATCTTATGACATCTATTTGGTGGATTAGTACCTAATGCGTAACCTCTAACCAATATATCTTTAATTGTTTATTTATATCAAATGGCAGGCGTTTTGATAGCTATCATTAGCCATTTAGCTGAATTCGGGCTTCACAGAGGGAAGGTTCATCAAAGTAGAAGAAAGTCGAGGGGTGGGGAACAGAAGAGCGATTCACGGATATAAAGAGATTGATGGGCACAAAGGCAGACTATGAAGAAGTCGAATTTGACATACAGTTTTGTGGTGGTAGTCTGAAGTCAAAAGTCAACAGCCAAGTTATAGACTTTTTGCCGTATGAGTATACGTTGTCCAGGGTGCACCACGTGGGGGTAAGTCTATCGCACACCCCAGGTATTTAAACGTCGAGCACTGTATTCGCAGCCCTGTTTATTATGGAAACAATTATGAACACCTATGAAAAGCACCTTCATTTCAAACTCTGTTAAAGTTGCATTATTTTAATAAAATAATTTAAGGGACTTTTGAGAAATTCTCATTACATTTACCTGAATTCAAAACCAGTACTAGATCTCTGAGAAGTATTTACGAGAAGTATGGAAGGTTCAAAAAGAAGAAAGTGTCTTCGATGGGGTCATTATCATGTTGCTGTAAAGCGGCGTTTCATTCGCCCATCATCTGAACCTTTGTAAGGATCTTCCTCTTTCCTGCTTGGACTACCAGGCCTGACAATTTATGTTCGTTTTGGCGTCTAACTACATAACAGTGACGATCTAACTTGCATCACCTTTTACATATCCTAAGATGAAAAACTGTGTTCTTTCAGTCAACGTTATTCATTTTGAGTAGAGAATTACATCAAGTACCTTCTGCATTGAAATTCAAAAAATATTGAGCTGAATATCATGAAGTCGAAACCAACACCATGCAACTCAAATTGACGTTAATTTTACGCCCTCAAATTGAATGCCACCACTCGTCGCTGTTTTGCAATTGTGTTGCAGGTCAACTGTAACTCAATCAAGGAAAAATATTTTTGAAATCGTTATCTTATCATCTTATAAGAACATTTATAAAGTTCAGTGCATTTGAAATATTAAGTATACTTCTAAGTATTATATTTTTATAAAACTCTTTGCATTGGCTATCGCTTTACGTTCAGCGTGTCTATCCTTAAAAATGAGATACATTTAAAGATATTTTCGTTGCTTTTTTTTAAATACATTCACAGCCAAGCCCCTCTGGGAACCATTAAACCTTCCCGATGATGCAATAGATCTGTGTGATTATCATGTGGTCGGTGGCGTCTTCCAATTCGATCTTCTTAAACTTCCTCGACAGCCTCGCACGGGTAGAGGCTGGAATTGGACTAACTGTGTGGTACCGCCTATTCTTACACCCCTAGAGTACACGGTTGGTACTCCAAAAATAGAACCCGATGCAATTGAAGGTACGCCTGACAATTCGGTGAAAGAGGGAAGTGGAAAGGAAGAAAATCAGGAAATCAAAGTGGATGATCAGGTGGATGTGGACAAAAATGCTATGTGGTGTAAGGTCGTATTTTATTACTCAGTTTAGCGTAGATGGGTTCAAGCACTAAAGAATTTCTCTAGAACATGACCCAATACAGAATATTCTATGTTTTAAATCAATTCAAAATAAATTTTGATGAGCTGTGGTTTCGTGAGAGTTCAGATTCTCCCCTAATGTGTTCTCCACGAAATCACGTTCTAATTAGCCTTACTACAGATTAGTAGCTGCATAGTTAATAATGGATAATTATTTAACCAGTATGATACTAAGCCTATTTCATATCCTCTTAACTAAGGAAGAGAATTTCATAAAAATTTTAAATTTAATGAAAATTTGGAAATGCACTAATTGAATAAATATATGACATAAAAAAATATTTTGAAAACAGATTTTACATACAATAAAAACTCTAACTATTTCTTCAATAGATAAAATCGATATCGACAAAAATAGCGCAAATGAACAAGAACCAAATCCCCCGGTTGAAGTCAAATTACGGTATTATTTGTCTCGATTTTGCTAAAGATTATTGATTGCATTGAATAATCAGTTATTCACATTATCTTTATTTGATAATAATAAGTTGGGAGTACGACTTGCTTTCCTACTTAAAATATACTATAATTTGAGTACCATTTATTTACTGTGTGATGACATATTCAACGAAATCTGGTAATTATTTATCATCTTTTAATAGTATCAGTTCAGTCGATGCCTGTTTAAACGATCAAGAGGTTTGAAGGCTTCTTCCAGTTTCCTATTTATGGACGAAAACAAAAATCCTTAAAGTATCTCACAAATATTTTACATATTATAGCCTATCTGTGGTTATTAAAGCTTAGTTAACTTTTAATAATGTCTCCTGAAATTGAGCCTAAAGCCAGAGGAAGTAACTGTAAACTGATACAACTATTAAGTATCTCATGGCTTCGTAATTTTCGGCCAATTTATTTATTTCAAATGGCAGGCGTTTTGATAGATATCACTAGCCATTTAGCTGACTTGGGGCTTCACAGAGGGAAGGTTCATCAAAGTAGCAGAAAGTCGAATGGTGGGGAACAGAAGAGCGATTCACAGATGTAAAAGAGGCAGACAGACACAAAGGTAGAGAAAAAGGTGAGGTGAGTACTGTGGAAGGGGTCGAATATGACAACCAGGGGGGTCGTGGTAGTTTGAAGTCAGAAGTCAAATGCCGATTAATAGACTTTTTTGCCGTATGAGTATACGTTGCCCAGGTTGCACCACGTGGAGGTAAGTC